CAGACGCAGAACAGGAAGGTCCGAGCCGAAACTCTCGCTGAGCTAGCGACGGGCACCGTGGATCCAGTCGATCAACACCTCAGTGACCTCACCCTTGCGGCGCAAGGGGAAGACTATGGTGTAACGCGAGTAGTCGTCAACGACCAGCAGGAAGTAACGCTCGTGACCCTGTCCACGGACGCGGGCTGGGCCCCACACGTCCATGTGGAGAGTCTGCAGGGGAGCCTCTGTCGGAGGGAACTCGGAGGAGTGAGGAGCGGCGCGCTGCCGGCCCTCGACACAAGGAACACAGGTAGGGGCAGGCCCCAGAGGAAGGGGAGGGAGGGACCGGGGGAGACCAGAGACAAGGGTACGGGAGGCCATACCTTGAAGACGAGGCAGGGAGGGGTGACCAAGGCGGTGGTGCCAAAGGAGAGTCTCGTGTGACAGAGGACGACACGAGCAGGGGGCAGACGCTGGACTAGACCTGGACGCGGCAGCAAACACCTGACTAGACGCGGCTACCTGACCAGACGCAGTAACCGGAGGAGACGCAGTAGTCAGTGTGTACAGACTCGACCCATGCCGACGGGTGAACGTGGCCAGGTGGCGGCCCGTCCGAGAGCAAGTGCAGTGGGTCACACGCTGACCTCTAGGGGTGAACTGGTCAACCCACGCGTCCTGGAGGTCAGCTCCACTCACCAAGTTCGTAGAGAACGAGGGGAGGTGGAGACCCGACAGCAAGCCCGACGGGGCCGCAGGACACGGTAGAACCGTGGAAGAGTGCGCAAGGACTGGGCCCCCAGAGGGGTCAGCCAGGGAGACTGCGACAGGCCGACTGAGCGGCGTGAGTGTGGTGCTGTCGCGAAAGAAGGAGCGCGAAGCACCAGAGTCAAGTGTGAAAGTGTGCAAGGCCTCAGTAGGTGCAGTACCAGAGAGAGCAGACTCACCAGCACCTGGAGCAGCAAACTCACTATTACCTGGAGCAGCAGACTCACCAGTACCTGGAGCAGCAGACTCACTAGCACCTAGAGCAGCAGCCTCAATGCCCGGGTTGGGCGGAACACACAGGTAACAGTCACCCTCAGCACTATCAGTCACAGCATACATGGCAGCAAGGATAGCATTGAAATCAAGATCAAAGATAGCAACATTCTGCCTAAGCAGATCACCCCAGCGAGGGAGCTCAACAGCGTCAGGAAACTGGGCGCGCCAGGCGTCAGTCAGGCGACCGAAGCAGCGCTGCGTAGTGTGTGGCAGCCTGCACGTCTCCCCACGGCGCCCGCCGGTGCGAAGAACGTAAGTGCAGGGACCAACACCACCAGACCTCCCACGCCCAACGTACCACTCACGAAGCTGCTGGGCCGACGGGGTCTCACGGGAACGCGGCTGCTGCTGGCGCTGGCTACCACCAAAGCCTCCACGCTGCGCGGCTCCACCTCGACCAGCACCACCGCCGCCGCCACCTCCACCACCGCTGCCGCTGCCTCCACCGCCGCTGCCGCTGCCTCCACCACCCCCACCGCCGCCACCGAAGCCCCCACTCCCGCCACCACCCCCACCTCCACCGCCACCCCCTCCGCCTCCTCCACCGCCTCCACCGCCGCCCCCACCGTCCCCTCCACCACCCTTGCCCCCCTTGCCCTTGCTGTTGCGGCGCCTCCCACTAGGAGCAGACGCAGCCCCGACCTCCTCAGTGCCAACGAGGTTGACAGCAGCAGCAGAAGCAACAGAGGGGAGAAGGGGGACAGGGGAACACCCCTCAAAGAAAGGGGCGCGAGGGTCGCCGCGAGAAGCACCTACAGCAACGATACTCTTCTCAGCTGCAGTGAGGCGATCCTCTAGCAGGTCGACGGTGAGCTCGGTGGGGCAAAGGGAGAGGAAGTGGTCCCTGACTGAAGCAAGGGAGTCAGGGAGGCAGGTGACTAGGTAGTAAAGGGTGATGTACATGGGGGGGGGGGGGTTCTTGGCACAGAACTCAGTGGGAAGCGCAGCGCGGTAGCGGGCGTCACTAGTGCGGAGGTGAGTAATGAGGTCAACGACTGTGGCAAAGGCGGAAAGGTCAGGGAACAGGTACGGCAGCATGAGGCGGCTGAGGGCAGCAGTGGCAGGGGAGGAGTAGCGTGCTACGACAGCGTCATACAAAGACTTAGCAGTCTTGTACTGGCCAAAGTGCGCACCCTCAGCAGACGGCAGGTGACTACGAACAGCAAGGCGAGCAACAGCGTCACGACTGGTCCACTGCGAGCGAACCGTACTGTCAGCAGTGGTAGTAGGTGCAGGAGAGACACCGGACGTGTGATCGAAAAGGGATACTCCGTCCTTGGAGCTACACTGAAGAAAGAACTGCAGGTCGTCAACCCACACGTCAAAGTCAACCGCACGCCCCTCAGCATCAAAGGTAAGAACATTAGGGCTAGCCATAGCGGCAGTAGCAGCAGTAGCAGCAGTGGCAGCAGAAGCAGCAGTAGCAGCAGGAGCAGCGCGAGCAGGGCAGCGCGGCTCAGTAGGGCGGCGCGGCTCGGCTGGGCGGCGTGGCGCGGCAGGGCGGCGCGGCTCGGAGGAGCGGCGTGGCTCGGCTGGGTGGCGCGGGTGCTTACCAGGGGCGGGTGCAGGGTAGGACCACAGCTGGCGGTTAGGTCAGGGCCGCGACTAGGGCGGCAGCAGGGCAGGGCCGCTACTTGGCGGCGGTAGAGCAGGGCCGCGACTGGGGCGGCTGAAGGGCAGGGCCGCGACGCGCCGGCGGCAGTGCAGGGCCGCGATAGGGCGGCGGCAGGGCAGGGCCGCGGCTGGACGGCAGGGTAGGGCAGGGCCGCGACGAGCAGCGGCAGGGCAGAGACCGCGGCGGGCGGCAAGGCAGGGCCGCGGGTGGCGGCAGGGCAGGGCAGGGCCGCGACTAGGCCGTTAGGGTAGGGCAGCGATGGGCCGTTAGGGCAGGGCCGCGACGGACGGTAAGGGCAGGGCCACAACGAGGCCGTTAGGGCAGGGCCGCGACGGGCCGTTAGGGCAGGGCCGCGACGGGCCGTTAGGGCAGGGCCGCGACGGGCCGTTAGGGCAGGGCGCGCGATGGCGCAGGCGAGGCAGGCGCGAGGCGCGCTTCGGGCAGGGCAGGAAAAAAAGTTATCGTGGTGGGCCCTAAAAAAAAACGTTCCCACGAGGGAACCTGCTCAGAATACCATGTCAGAATAGTGAAGGAAGGAAATGACTGAACTAGCAAGCAGGTGGGTACAAGTAGGAAACCTAAAAGTATTGTACCCTATATGAACTACCCCACTACAGCCTAGACAGACTATAGCATATAAGTTTGACATAAAAATACCAGGAAGCTTTGCTCATGTTTAAAAGACGATAGAACGAGGACTTCCTGTGGCTAATTATTTGTCAGAACGCTTTTGGATTCCCATCCATGAAGTGCACAGTGTGTATGGAGTACGGAGGCACAGGAACCAACTTCGGGAGAGGCGAGGGGGCCCTGGATGTGCAGACTCAAGCCATGCAACGACATCAAAGGACCACGAAGCACAGGGACGCCATGCGCAACCAGGAGCTGGCGTTGGCCAGAGCTACCGGACAACATCGCATCCCCAATTTCTCGAATGCGCGTTACGTGGAGCACGATGCTGTGGAGGCGCTGCTGGACACTATGCTCTTCATTACAAAGACAGACGCACACATAGAGATGTGGGTGCAACTCGTCCGGCACCTTGCATCCTGTGGGACTCCAAGATTCCCGAAGAACGGCTACGGCGTGTATTACACAACGTAAGTAACTCATTGTTCTTTTCTTAATAAACACACACATTCTTTATTACTTCTGGATTTAGGGTGGGTTGTATACTAATACATACTATTCCCTACCCGTGCATTCGCATGTACAGGTTCCAGGAACTAGTGTCGGCAACAGCGACCTATCTTCGTGCGACGGGCGGGCCTGGGCCTAGGGTCGACAGGCGGGCGCGCGGGGCAGCAGGGGCGACGGGCGGGCCGGGGCCTAGGGTCGACGGGCGGGCGGGGCCTTAAGTCGACTGGCGGGCCGGGCCTAGGGTCGACGGGCGGGCCGGGCCTAGGGTTGATGGGCGGGCATGCGGGGCAGCAGGTCGACGGGCGGGCCGGGGCCTAGGGGCGACGGGCGGGCCGAAGCCTAGGGTCGACGGGCGGACCGGGCCTAGGGTCGACGGGCGGGCGCGCGGGGCAGCAGGGTCGACGGGCGGGCCGGGGCCTAGGGGCGACTGGCGGGCCGGGGCCTAGGGTCGATGGGCGGGCCGGGCTAGGGTCGACGGGCGGGCCGGGCCTAGGGTCGACGGGCGGGCGCGCGGGGCTGCAGGGGCGACGGGCGGACCAGGGCCTAGGGGCGACGGGCGCGCGGGGCCTAGGGTCGACGGGCGGGCCGCAAGAGGGCGGCGCGCAGGGCAGTAGGTGCAGCACGAGGGCTGCAGAGGGCGGTGCGTGAGCCAGCAGGGCGGCTAGTTGGGCAGCGCTGTGGTGGGCCCTAAAAAAAAAAACCGGTCCTAACGAAGGACCTGCTCTGAAACCATGTCAAAGGAATGAACGAGAATGAATGAACTATGAAACAGTTGGGTACAAGTACTAACCCTAATTGGGTTGTACCCCTTATGGGCTACCCCACTATAGCCTACACAATGTAAGCAATATAACATTCTGACATTTATGGCGTCGCCGCACTGCTTCAGCGTGCTCTTCGACGACTCCGAAAACATATTCCAGGCCGTCCGAAAATCCCCAGCAAGCTTGTTGAAAACAGCGGCTTGCTCACTGTGCTTCGCAAGTACGTCGGCGACGAGCTTCTTCTGCGACGCCTCGACCTCCGCGACCCTCTGCAGTAGCTCGATGACCTGGCCTCCGGATGCAATGGCCGACGTCAAATGGCCTGCCGTCGAAGGGCGCCCGGTCGAAGGGCCCGCCTGTCCGCTGCCACTGGCCGTGCGGTGTCTTCTTACTGTGACCTGTCGCTCCTGCGCAGCCTCCCCGCCCTCCTGCTCCTGCCCTCCCGCCCCACCCTCCTACGCAGCCACCACGCCCTCCTGCTGCTGCCCTCCGACCCCACCCTCCTGCGCAGCCGCCCCGCCCACCTGCTGCTGCACTCCTGTCCCCAAATCCTGCACAGCCGCCCCGCCCTCCTGCTACTGCACTCCTGCCCCACCCTCCTGCGCAGCCGCTCCACCCTCCTGCTCCTCGACAGCCCCATCGTCCCCCGTCACCTGCTGCTCGATATGCTTCACCCGCTCGTCCACCCGCTCCCCGAGCGCCACTCCGTGCTCCTCCGTACGCTCCGTCCCACCTGGATGTTCTCCTGCGCCCTCGTCGTCGTGCTCGATCGACTCATCGCTCGAACTCGAGCCGGAGCTCGATTCTGAGCTCGAGCCCTCCTGCTTGTTCGCATTGCCACCTGGGCCGCTCACCCCGTGCTGAGCTTGCCTCGATATATCCTCCTGGATCTCCTCCTCCTCCTCGTAGCTGTACTCAACCACGACGCGTGGCGCCCCCTCGCCTCCTCCCTCGTGTTCGGCACCCCCTCCCACTCCTACTACCTCCGCCACCTCGTCCATCCTTTTCCAAAACAGTGTGACCATGAACGACGGAAGCATACCCAGGCCAGGGCTCGTTCTCCCGAGCATCACGAGGTCGCCCTATCGAGGCTGCAGGAAGAAACTGTCCCAGTTCGACAGAATCCGGCGCACCCCATGCACGACACGAGCTGCCGCGCTGGGTTCACTGGGGCTCGTCAGGGCCGTCGTCGTCTGCGACGGGTATAAAACAGACGTAAGCGACAGAACAACATGCTCGACGAAAACATGCACGAGTAAGGGTAAGGGTTGGCTTACCAGATAATCGAAACTCGTGATCATGTCCTGATGCAGGTCAATGACGCTAAGCACCCCCTGCTCATGCTCGTCCACAACCCACGGGGTCGTCGTGTACTCGGCACGAAGCTGCTTCTTCATCCAACTGCAAAGCAACAGACAAGAGAGTAAGAGGTTGTCGAGAACGGCAAGTCGACAGCAGGGTGCCAAATCGGTCACTCACACGAGAACTTCATGCGCCCGCGAAGATTGGTGGTTCACCGCGGGAAACCTGTCTTTCGAATCGAAGTGCATCATTTGCTATAGTCACAATAGGCTTGAATGTGCCTAAAACGAAAGATAGAGTGTACAGTCGGATTTCTGCACAGCGGCTTCAAACGTTGATAGCGTTCTGTTGACAGCTTTAAATGACTTGATATAAATTGTATCTGGAGAGTCTTGATATCGCCTACAATAGGCAATTTAGATCACACGATTTCATCAAGTATTTATGACGCAATGTTGGTTTGAACGAACGGCACTATGGCAGCCACTATAGACTTCGAACACAAATTAGGAAGAGTTGCGAGTTGGGAATGACTCCCAGCTCCTAAAAACCCCAAGAGCTGAGGTACAGTGATTTCGAACAGTGCCACACTGTCCCCAACCACGAAGGGTCTCGAAACTACCCTCCAAAAGGGCCTACACCAAGAGAAATGTTACACTACACATTGTAATGTAACTATTCTCACTATCTTGAAGTTTACCCTTTTGGAGAGCTTCGAAATCACTTGAATCTTGAAACCAAGGCTCTGATTCTTCCTTAAGTTCTTAAAAGTCTTCTGCGCACACCTGCGACACGCCGAACGTTCCACACACGACAAAATAGAAAACCGCCCACGACACGCAAACGACGACGTGACACGCGACTAGCGATAACTCGCTATTGACTCGACACACACATTCAAAATCATGCCTCATCATTCACACACTATTGTAAGCATGAAATATATATTAATTCATGCCCTCATACCATTCCATGCACACACGCATGCACGCACACAGACAACAAGCCGAGTGCAAACCGTAGGGTTGCACCAACAAACTCCCCCTCGGATTGTTGGCCTTAGGATCTTGCTCTGTCAGTTCAGAGCCATCCCAGCCAGCTTGCAACACTTCCAATGCTGCTGCTCCACCAGCCTCTTGGTCATCATGTCAGCTGGCTGCCCCGTTGTCTTCACGTAGCGCAACTCAACTTCACCCGTGGCCACCATGCTCCTCGTCCAATGCCACTTCACCCTCATGTGCTTGGTGAGGCCGTGCAACACAGGGTTCTTAGCAAGTGCAATGGCACCTTGGCTGTCACGATAGAGTGGGGTAGGTCCTCACTGCTCCTCCCCCAATTCAGCCAGCAAACGCCGCTGCCACACAATCTCCCGTACGGCACGGAAGAGTGCCATGTACTCGGACTCCACCGAGCTCAATGCTTGATCCACCTGCTTCTTGCTCTCCCAAGCAGTTGGGCCTCCACAAACACAGCAAATGAACCCTCCAACACTTGTCATGTCCTCTGGTTCCGATGCATAAGAAGCATCGGAGAATGCGGTGAGGAATAAACGCCCGGGTTCAACACCATCCGCGCCCTTCTGGCGCCTTTGCGCCGCCGCCGAGTATTGCAGCCCAACGGTCGGTGTTTGGCCAGGATACTTGGCCACCCTCATTCCAGCTGCTACCTGCTCCTCGTTAGGGCATTGAACAACCCTAGCCAACTGTCCGGTTGCAAAGGCGACGTCCGGTCGGGTGTTTACCGCCGCGTACATGAGGCTGCCCACCAACGACTGAAAACGGCGCCTCTCCTCTTCACCAACGCTCTCTTCCTCTGGTCCCTTCACACACTTGAACCCAGAGGGAAATGGTGTAGCCATATGGCCTTCACTCTGCCCAAAGTTGGCAGCCAATGCCTCCAGGTACTTCCGTTGATGCATCCGCATGCACCGCTTCTCCACATCTCGTTCGATGTGGAGCCCAAGGTAGAAGCTCACGTCACCAAGGGCCTTGCACTTGAACTTGTCTTGAAGCTTCAGCATCACCTCCTTCACAAGGTCAGAGGAGGGTGAGAAAATGAGGATGTCATCCACATAAACCACCATGAAACTCCTCTGCTCCCCCTCGCCAAGCATGAACAAGGAATGATCGGCGGATGACGGAGTGAACCCGATCTCCTCCAAGACTTCACGCAGCTTCAAGTACCACTGCCTAGGGGCTTGCTTGAGCCCATAGAGCGCCTTCTTCAGCTTCCACACTCTGCCACTACCATCATCAAACCTCTCTGGCTGCGCCATAAAAATCTCTTCCTCAAGGACGCCGTTGAGGAATGACGTTGTCACATCCATTTGTTTCACCACCCATCCTTTGATGGTAGCTCCCGCGAGTAGGTTTCGCAGCGTCGTCGGCTTCACCACAGGAGCAAAAAATTCCTTGTAGTCCACCTTCTCCTTCTGCTGGTACCTCTTCGCCACAAGCCTAGACTTGTAGCGCTCGATTTTGCCGTCGGCGTCGGACTTGATATTGAAGAGCCACTTGGACGTAATCGCCTTATGCCCCTCCGGTAGCTCCACCAATTCCCACGTGATGTTCTCCTCAATGATCTTCAGCTCACTCTCCATTACCTTCTTCCACTCCTCAGCATCACTACTCTCCAAGGCCTCCTTGAGAGTTGCTGGTTCCCCCGGCATCTCCACCGGAGAGAAGAACGCGAAAACAAACTCCTCGTACTCACTTTCCTCGTCATCTCCAACCATCATTGCCGCTCCGGCCAAGGCTGACTTGGCTGGCTTTCCCAGCGCCTCATAGGTCAGCCTATTTGGGGCTTGAATTCTCCTCTTGCCCCTTCCTTCCTCCTCTGCTGCAGGGACATGAAGGCTCTCATGGCGTTGCTGCAGGGTGACTCGGATCCGTGGAGAACTCGTAGTGCGAGAAGGAAGTGTCGGTGCACGCTCGCTCACTTGCTGCACCTCCTCCTCTTCTTCCTCTGCATCCTTGGTCTCCTCTCCCCCATTCACAAGGGAAGATTGCCTTGTGGTGGTGCTGCCGCTGCTCAGCTCCAAGGGTAGCTCCACATGCTCCAAACCGGAACTCTTCACCTCCCCAAACCGCACGCCTATCTTCGCCTCATTCTCCGCCTTCCAATCCTAATACATCAGGTTCTCCATGAATTTGCAGTCCCTGCTCACCAAGAATTTCTTGGTGAATGGGTCCCAAAGAAGCTACCCCTTGCTGTTTTGAGCCATGCCCAAATGCACAGCCCATAACGCCTTGGTACCGAGCTTGTTGTGCCGAAGATGCTTAGGCACGAGCGCCATGCACATGCACCCGAACACCCGAAGCATATCCACCTTTGACTTCCTTCCAAACCACTCCACATAGAGCACCAATTTGTCTGCTCCGACATGAGTCAAAGCTCTGTTCTTGGCCACACACACACTCCGCACCGCATCAGGCCAGAAGTAGTCGGGTAGCCCGGCTTCAATGAGCAACCCGCGCGCCGTCTCCGTGATTGTGCGGTTCGCTCGCTCGGCGATGCCGTTCATTGCAGGGGAGTATGGCATGGTGAGGGAGTGCCTTATGCCATTCTTATTCAGCCACAATGAGAACTTCTTGCTCAGAAACTCTCCCCCTCGATCGGTGCGAATTGCCTTCACTAACCGGTCTTGTTGCCGCTCCACCATCGGCAACCAATCTGTCTTCACCGTTTCAGCCACGTCACTCTTCTTGGACAGCACGTACACCCAAGTCATGCGAGTGTAGACGTCCACTATGGTGAGAAAGTACTCAGCTCCAGCAGCTCCAAGCTTCAGGGGGCCCACCACGTCCATCACCACCTCATCAAGTGGTGCCTTAGCCGTTGCCTCCGAACTAGAGAACGGGTAACGGGTGAACTTGGCTTGCATGCACGTCGGGCAGCCAAGTACCTTGGTGGGCTCCCCCTTCACACGTATGCCAGCAACCATCTCTCCCTTTACTAGCTGCTGCAAAATAGGCAGAGCCACATGCCCCATTCGCCGATGCAAAGTGAGCCAATCACACTCCCCCGTAGCCGAAGTCGGATTGGAGAATGCCGCACTCGCAATAGTGCCCCACATGTTCTCTCCGTACTCCTCCTCCGCTGCTGCCTTGGGGTTCTCCTCATCCTTGTGCTGCTTCTTGGCTGCTGCACCACCGAGCTTGGTGGTCCCTCCAAGATTGCACTTCTTAAACTCAATCTCCTTAGCGCGACCGTTCGCGCCATCGCCGCTACCAACCGCTTCACCCTTGGTGCTGATGCTTGCTGCCACTTGCCTCTCCTTAGGCATGGGGACCACAGGGATCTGCCACATCTCGTTGTAGACATCCCTATCCTCGTGAAGGTCCCAAAGAATCCGCTCGCCAAGCCTCGTGGTATAGGTCTTAGCTCCCTTCGAGCTCGTGTCCATGCCGGCCTTTTGCAACCGCCGCACGGAAATCAGGTTGGCAGCAAGGTTGGGCACCCAAAGCACGTTCTTGATGCCCACCATCTTCCCATCAGCACCCATGAACATGGCCTTGCCCATGCCTTTCACCTCTGCTCGCTGCCCCAAAGCCGATGTGACATGCTTCACCAGTGACTGTTCAAGTTCAGTGAGCAAGTCCGCACGAGGTGTCATGCTATAGGTAGCGCCGCTATCGATCACCCAATAGTCCAAAGAGTGTAAGGTCACCTTCCCCACAGCAGCAGGCTCCTCAAAGCTTTCATCCTTCTCTGGTGCAGCCGGTGCTTGCGTCGATAC